CTTTTCCAGAAATGAGTGGTGAACTTCTCGGAATTGGAGCGCTGCCTTCATTTAGTTCTTTTAGGACTTCTTCTGGTCTTTGTTATGGTGACAGATGGGAATGTTATTTAGCATGGAAATGGGATTATGGTGAAGCCTGAGGTCTTTATTAAGTCATTTGATTGGCTGTGCTGGTTCTAACCAATCTCAGGTTACAAAGGACACTTTTTTTTCACAGATGTCTTGTTTCTTAAAGATAAGCAGAATTAGGGCAGGGTAGAAATTCAGCTATGTCATGAAAGCATTACACAGGGTAAGTTGTAGTAGAAGTAGTAATTCCTGTAGTATTATCTTCATAATCATTTGAAGCACTATGAACTTTTAAAGTTACATTGTATAAAAAACAATGGCTGAATTTATTGCAATAAATCTCATGAGTAGGTTCTAAACAAAGGTAGTGGTGGTGGGAATAGTGAGGAGAGGATGACCTGAGAACTGTGTAAGAGAAGAATCAAACACATTTGACCAGCTGGAAATGCGTATAAAATGTAGAAGGAAAAGTTTTATTCTCTAGTTTAGAATTCACAAATAGTAAATTTGGGATATATTTCACAAATAGTAAAACGAAGAGTGTAATACATCATGATATATTCTGATACATCAGCACCTATAATCAAGCTGAGAGCCATATGAGAAGTTGTTTCAAATATATAGCCCTTTTTTCTACTTTTTTAAAGTATTAAGATATTAGGCATCTCTGTGCTGAGCTGCAGGACAGACCGACCCTGTACCAGGCAAGCCCTGCTATTCATTGTACCTGCTCTGCATGCTCCTCAATGACATCTTCAAATTTACCTAAGAGCCCCTTTAACATCTTTTTCTCTGAGAGCCTGACGCACCATATCTTTAATAAAACCCTTGTTCACAGGGTGACCACAATGCCTCTGCTCATTTTAGGTGCCTAAGTGTTCTTAGCCTAGTAATTATCCTCCTCAAATAGCTCCCTTTTTAACCTGTGCTTCTAACAGCAGAGTTTCGTTGTTGCTATGGATTCCGGACAGACTATTTTGTCAATCCTTGAACCCAATCCTCTCTTTTGCAACAACAGTTATATACTAAAGTCGATATTTTCTTTTACCTCATTTCCTTGTTAATAGACAAACACATATATTGAGAATATACTTGTCTGGCATCCTGCTGAGATTAGTCCTTGGATTTCTGCTGACTTTAATCTTTGTAAGTGATCTAGAGAAAGGCAATTACTGTGAACTAACTGGAACTACTAATCAGCCAAAATTGCTGGGGAGGGAAGAAGCAGAGGAAGCTACAACACAACACAGGTGGAGTCCAATATGCCATGTAGCTAAGTGGGTGTGTGGTAAACGGACATAATAAGGAACCATGTGAAGAGCACTACAAATTGGAAATAAATGATTAAGAAATAAGTAACACCATTCAGTTGAAATGCATGAAGTTTTGGGCGTAATTATGGATGAGTCACCTGTGTATCTGTGATCTCTCCTTTCCTTATGAGTAAATTAGTCACTGGATTTAGAGCCCACCCTAACACAGTAACTCAATTAACTGCAAGGAACAAATTTCCAAATAGGTCACAGTCTGAGATCTCAGATGGTACAAATTTGTGATTACACGATTCAATAGACTAGTACTATATACTAGTATTATATAGAAATACAATTTATTTTTTTAATGTCCTAGTGTCTCATGACTTTGCTGAAGTTATTTATTAGATACAAAATTTGTCTTATACATTTTTAGGGTTTTTATTTTGCACAATCATGTCTGATCATCTGTGAATAAAGGCAGTATTACATTTTTCATTTCAGTCTGTATCTTTCATTTCTTTTTCATATCGTTATGCTGACAAAACAACCTCCAGTACAATATGAAATAAATGTAGTATGGAGAAACCCCATCTCTATTAAAAATACAAAAAAATTTTACTGGGCATGGTGGCACATGCCTGTAATCCCAGCTAACTGGGAGGCTGAGGCAGGAGAATCGCTTGAACCCAGGAGGTGGAGGTTGCAGTGAGCCGAGATCGCGCCATTGCACTCCAGCCTGGGCAACAAGAGCAAAACTCTGTCCCAAAAACTAAACAAACAAACAAACAAATGTAGTCTGTCTATACTTCCTTTCTCCAATTTTAAGAAAAAAAGCAATGACTGTGGATTTTTTACAGATGTCCTTTATCATATTAAAGAATGTTATTTCCATTCCTATTTTGTTGAAATTTTTATCACGAAAGGCTGTTAGATTTTCCCAAATGCTTTTACTCAACATATTGATGAAAATGATCATTCTTTTTTACTCTGTTAATGAGATGAAGTGCATGACTGAGTTTGGATTGTTAAAACATTTTGTATTATCAAGATAAACCATACCTTCTTTATTATTTATATTTTTGTGCATCCAATTTGCTGATTTTATTGAAAATGTCTGTGCCTATGTCCATGAGAAATGTTATTCTCTCATTTTAGTTTACTATAAAGCCTTTGTTCAGTAGGTACCATGGTTACGCTGATCTTATGAAGCAAGTTGAACTGTGTGTTCTCCTATTTTCTGAAAGAGTTATGTATGACTGGAATTACTTATTCCCTAAATAGTAGAAAAAATTCACCAATGAGACTATATGAAACTGGAGTTTTCTTTGATAGAAGGTTTTTGATGAGTTCCATTATTTAATAGATTTATTCATATTTTCATTTATTCTTTCAGTTTTATTAAGTATATTTTATAATGATTTGTCAATTTCAACTAGTTTAATCTAGGAAAGGAATTAATAATATTTACTTATTTTAATTTTATTGTTTGTGGTTTCTGTAAGGATGTCTTTTATTTTCTTCCTGACATTGGTGATTAATATTTGTAGCATTTTGACAATTGTATTAATCTTTCCAGGAACTTTTGGCTTAGTCAAGCCTTTGTTTTTTTGTTTTAATTTTCTCCTTTTCTGTTTTCATTTTATCATGTCCTTCTTCCTACTATTTATTTGCTTCATTTACTTATCTTTTTGTAACTTCTTGAAAACATTCCCTTATAAGTGTTGCTTTAGTTCATAGACTAAATTTTGATATGTTGTATTTTCATTCTAATTTAGTATAAAGCATTTCCTATTTTAAACACTTTCTCAAATTTTCCTTCGACTCTTGCGTTACTGAGAAGTGTATTACTTCTCTATTCTCAATAGTGTTCTATTGGTCTATGTAACTTTTTATTCCAGTACCATGTTGTTTTGGTTACTATACCTCTGTGATATAATTTTAAATCAGATAATGTGATTCTTCCAGTTTGTTCTTTTTTTTTAATGATAACTTTGGCTATTTTGGGTCTATTGTGATTCCACATAAATTTTAAGATTATTCTATTTCTGTGAAGAATATCATTGGTATTTTGATAGGGATTAAGTTGACTCTGTAGAATGCTTTGGGTAGTGTGGAAAATACTGCCCAATTTTTATTTTTCCAATCCATCAGCATGAAATATCATTTCATTATGTTTTGTGTTCTTTTCCATTTCTTGCACCAATGTTTCATAGTTTTCATTATAGAGATCTTGCCCTACTTTGGTTAATTCCTAGGTACTTAATTTTATTTGTAGCTATTGTAAAGCGGATTACTGTATTGATTATTTTTTCAGATTGTTCACTGTTGGCATACAGAAATACTTCTGATTTTTGTATGTTGATTTTGTATCCTACAACTTCACTGAATTTTTAAAATCATTACTGACAGTTCTTTTGGTGGAGTCTTTAGGTTTTCCAAATATAGTATCCTATCATCTGCAAACAAAAAAATAATTTGACTTCTTCCTTTCCAGTTTGGATGCCCTTTATTTCTTTCTCGTGTGATTGCTCTAGAGAAGAGTTCCAGTACTATGTTAAATAACAATGGTGAAAGTGGGCATTCTTGTTTTGTTCCAGACCTTACAGAAAAGGCTTTCATTGTTGCCCCATTTAGTGTGATACTAGCTGTGAGTCTGTTATATGTGGCCCACTTTGTGTTGCGGTATCTTCCTCCCATACCCAGTATTTTAGGGTTTTTATTAAGAAGAAATGTTGAATTTTTACCCATGCTATTTCAGCACTAATTGAAATGATCATATGGTTTTTATCATTCACTCTGTTGATATAATGTATAACTATGATTTGATTTGTACAACAGGTCTAGTGTTTTTGAAATCCCTTAGCATTTGTTCATCTCAGAAAGTATTTCTCTTTCATGTTTGAAGGACAATTTTGGTGAATATTCTATGCTAGATAAAAGATTTCCTCCTTTAGCACTTTAAATATGTCATACCACTCTCTGCTGGCCTGTAAGGTTTTCACCATGAAGTCTGCTGCCAGTTATATTGAAGCTTCATTTTATGTTATTGTTTTGTTTTGTTTTTCTCTTGTTACTTTTAGAATCCTTTCTTTCTCCTTGACATTTGGGAGTCTGATTATTACATGCCTTCAGGTAGTCGTCTTTGTATTATATTTGCTTATCCTTCTACAACCTTCTTGTACTTGAATATTGATATATTTCTCTAGGTTTTGGGAATTCTCTATTATTATCTATTTGAATTATTTTTCTATCACTGTCTCTTTTTATAACTCCTTTTTAACATTCTTAGATTTGCCATTTCGTGGCTATTTTCCAGAACTTGAAGGCATCCTTCATTTTTTTTTATTCTTTTGTCTTTTGCCTCCTCTGTCTGTGTGTTTTCAAATAGCTTGTCTTCAAACTCACTAATTCTTTCTTCTGCTTGATCAATTCTCTTGCTAAAAGACTCTGATGCATATTTCAATATGTCATGTGCATTTTTAATCTCCAGAATTTCTGCTTCTTTTTCATTATCTCAATCTCTTTGTTACATTTATCCAATAGGATTCTGTATTTCTTGTTTATGCTGTCTTTAATTTTATTGAGTTACCTCCAGAGTCACTGTTTTGAACATCAGAGCACCAATGTTTATTTAAGACCCAAGGGCTCCTAAGTCAGCTTGCGGTTATAGCTGTCAGCCCAGAATCACTCCCTCCAGGCCAGTGGGCTCTCCTGTTGTCCAGGTTAGGTGTAGAAATGCCATACAGGAGTCAAGTCCTGGAATAGGCGACCCCGGGAATCCACTTGGTGATCTACCTCATTTTGGCTGAGTTGTACCCAGGGTGCATGACAAGGTCCTCATTTACTCTTCCTTCTCCTTTTCTCAATAGAAGGAGTCTCTCCCCATAGGCACCGCAGCTAAGAATGTGCTGAGTCGCACCTGGAGCCAGCACTGCTCTGATTCTCACCCAAGGCCCACCGTGAGTACTACCTGGCTACTACTACTGATTATTCATGATCCAAGGGCTTTTTAGTCAGCAGGCAATGTGTCCTGCCAAGGTCACAGGATCCTTGGGTGTTGCTTTTCTGGCCGAAAAAACCTCTGGGCCAGTGGTACCTTTGCCTGAGTTTTGCTCAGGCTCTCTGGCTTGTTCCACCTACTTGGTCAAGAAGGCAGCACTCAGCTCATGCCACTGGCCTGGATCCTATGCCTGCCAAGGGCGAGCCAACCACAGAGTGGTAAGCTGTGTATGAGTGAGTGAGTGTACGGTCTGGCAACTGTGCACAGCCAGGCACGCTGGCTGTGGTGAGGCGGGCAGTTCCAGTTTCCAGCATGGGCACCGGCTTCCTGTTAGACTGCAGCTGGACCAGGAGTACCACAAGCAACTTCTACAGCTGGCACTGGGGAATGTGGTGGTGCCTGGACCAGAGGCTTGGAGATGCCAGGAACCACAGAGCCTCAAAGAGGGTGACACAGCTCTGGCTTGGGGAGCTCCAGCTCTTCGCGCCTTCTCTCATCTCTCCTTCTCTCCTCTCTCCTCCTTGTTGCCCGCAACATGGTGAGCAAGGGGCATGTTTCAGTCCTGTGTATTACTGCTCTTTCAGCACTGCCATTCAGTGGGTCCCAAGTTCTTGTCCCACATCCAAGAAAATGAGGTACACGGACAAGTGGAGGGTGAGCAAGGTGAAGAGGAGCTTTATTGAGTGACAAAACAGCTCAGAGGAGACCTGCAGTGGGTAGCTCCTCTCCACAGGCAGGTGTCCTGACCAGAGTCCAGCTCTCAGCAGAGAGGAGACACACAGTGGGTAACTCCTCTCTGCAGGCAGGTCATCGGGTCATCTACCTGAGTCTGGTGCAGTTTGGGGGTTTTGTGGGCTTCAGAGGGGAGAAAGTGTGTGCTGATTGGTTTATGGGTGGCTGTGAGTGGGCCCAGAAGAAGCACCATAAGTTCTCACTCTGCTCAGCGGAACTGGCGGTCCAGCCTCCAGGTCTAAGGCCATCCCTGGCCTTAAGATGGGGTTTTGCTGGGGACCTGCCCCTTTCTGCCCAGGAACCTGTCTGCCTCCTGCCACCATTAGCCTGCCATCCACAGTGCCCATGGCACCCAGGCTGTTCACGCCGATGGGTGCCTGTAGGTCTGTGCCGAGTCACCCTTAGCCTCTCTTCAGCCTCCCTCCCATGCTTTTTGGTGCCCAAAGTCTAGAGGCAGCCGAGGTGGCAGGGAGCTGGCATGTCAGCACTGCCTCGAACATATGCACACCCAGCCAGGTCATGACAGTGCCTGAGTACAGCCACAACTTCACTCTGAAATCTGAGCAGAGGCTGGGAGCAGGGAGAGGCCTTGCAGTGGGAGCAAGCACTTCTGAGCCAGGGCTGGCTTTCCGGGCCCCCAAGAATGTAGAGATGCCGAGGTTTGCAGATGTGGCTGGGTGGCTATGGCTGTGCCTGGGAGGGAGGAGCTCTTGCCCCTCCAACTTGGAAGGAGCAAGGCTTCTTCCCATTCCTGGTTCCCACTGACACCATGGAGCATGCAGTTCTGGCTGTGCCTCCCCCACTGCAGCTAGCCTCAAGGGCAGTGGCCACTCCAGATGGACCACCGCTGCCATCACCAGGACTGTGTTCTTTCCTCAAGACAGGGGGTTCTCCACAAATATTGCCTGGGAGCTAGGGCCTAGATTAGAGACTTTAGGATGCTGCCTGGTGTCCTATACTGTTGTGGCTGAGTTGCTATTTGAATTGTGAGACAAATTATTCTTTACTTTTCATTCTCCTCTCCTCAGACAGAGGGAAAGGGTCTCTCCCAGAGCTGTGAGCTGCACTGCCTGATGTTGGGGGAGGAGCAATGCAAGCACTGCTTTGACCACTCCAGCTGGTGACTCACTAAGTTGTGAGTGGCAAGGGCTGTTCTAAGAGCTCCTCCCTCTGTGGGCAGTGGCTGAGTTTTGCCCTCTGTTGCTTTCCACTATGACAGAACCACACTGAGTTCCAATGCAAAGTCCTACAGTCACTGTGCTCTTTCTCTCCCGAGTGCACAGTCTCTCTCTGTGCCATGCAGTCACCAACAGAACATGCAAGTATGGTGTCAATGATTCAAGACTGTTTCTTCTACCCTCTTCAATATGTTTTTCCTTAATATGATTTTTAAAGACAGGTACTGTGATTACTCATCTGATCATTGATTCTTATGAAGATGTGTTTTTGTGTGGATAGTGGCTCAATTTGGTGTTCTTGCAGCAAGGATGATTGCTGGAGGTTTCTATTCAACCATTTTGCTCTACCTCCGTCTTTCATCTTTTTAAAGATACTATTACATTGTCTTCCTTCCTCCATTATTTTCAAAAGATAGGTTTTCAAGACACCCATTTCTCTCTCTGTTTTTATCTCTCTGTGTTTTATGGTATGTCGAGGTGTTATTTTATTCTTATTTTATTCTGCTTAAGATTTGCTGAGTACTCAGATTTTTATGTTGCCTTTGCTTTTTAACAAACTTAGGAAAGTTTTAAACACTGTTTCTTTTTCTTTTTACTTTTCTTTTTTTTTTTTGAGATGGAGTTTTGCTATTGTTGCCCAGGCTGGAATGCAATGGCATGATCTGGGCTTACTGCAAACTTTGCCTCCTGGGTTCAAATGAGTCTCCTGCCTCAGCCTCTCAAGTAGCTGGGATTAGAGGCATGTGCCACCACGCCGTTTATTTTGTATTTTTAGTAGAGACGGGGTTTTCTCCATGTTGGTCAGGCTGGTCTCCAACTCCCGACCTCAGGTGATTCGCCAGCCTTGGCCTCCTAAAGTGCTGGGATTACAGGCGTGAGCCATAGCGCCTGGCCTATACACTTTAAAAAATCCTTTTAAAAAGTCCTTTAACCTCATTATCTCTTCTCTTTCTTTATAGATTCAATTATAGTTATGTTTTACAAATTGATAATGGCTGACGCATCTCAGAAGTTCTGTTTACTTTTTCAACCTTTTCACACTTTTTGTGCAAATTATATAATTTCTATTTATCTACCTTTAAGTTTATTGACTCATTGTTTTATCCATACTGGTCATTTTATTTAAGATACTGTACTTTACAGTTCTGTATTTTTTATGTGTTTCTCTTTTATAATGATCTTTTGCTCTCTTTCGACATTTTATGAGCTCTTTAAGTGCTTTCCTATTTTTTATCTCCAGAAAATTTACTTTGCATTTATTAAAATATTTCTTTCTGTGAATTTTTAAATAAAATTTCTTTCTGGGAATATTATCATCTTTTAGATAGTCACTATTTTTACTTCCATGTTTTCTTCTAGAACAGTTCCTCGATCTTATCTTTTACTACTAATTCAGTTGCACATGCCTCTATATTCACTGTATCTACTTTATTATTCCTAATATTACATTTTGCATTACAATATTTCTACTTGACCATTGTTTTATATTTCGATAATTTTCTATTTTCTTATCATAATAATTATTCTTATTTATTATGCTTATTTTTAGCTTTCGATCTATATGTGCTGAGGTTTCTTCTTCCAATATCCCTTCTCTCTCCTTCCCACCTTCAAACAATTAGAGAGATCAGCATCAGGGTAAAGTAATTATTCTTGGGTTTAAATCTACCAGCAGTGGTGGTTTAGAACAGGATAAGGGATATTCAGTACTAATTATTCACCCAAAGTCTTTATTCTAGAATGGTTTTTTCCAAAAATTTTTGCAATTAAACAGGTTCCTGCAGTAACATTGAAAGGGAAAATGTTCCACAGCATATTGGGGAGGAAAAATAATTGATCCTAAACAGTTCTCCTGCAATTAATGGTCACACCCCTTACCCAGCAACACTGCACCAGACCAGAATATTTAACCTCCAGTTCAAACAAGCTTACTTTCCATAGAAAATTTTTTGTCAGTGAAGATGTTGCTTTCTGAATTCTATATTTCTTCATGTAATTTCTTTATGGTTAATTTTGGGTGAAGAAAATAGTCATTTATTCTCATTCTTCTTTCTGAGAAGTATCATATATCTTTCCTCACATATATTTGCACTAAAAGTAGCATATTTCCTGCAATGTACTAGATATATAATATGTGCTTTTGAGTGAGTGAATAGAGTCTTATCTCCTTTTGATCTTGCTTCTCAGGGGATTTAGCCTCTTGAGATTTGTGATATTCTTTCTTTGGTGTGGCTACTCTAATTTTTCTGTGTCAATTCAAGCTTCCCTCAAGCATAACACAAAGTTTCTAAGCCAGGTTCCATAAATTTTACACATATTATGCCTCCCTCACTGCTTTTATAGCACAAAATTTATTATTCTTATTCCCTTGGGCTCATATAGGGGAACAAATGACTTTAGCTAGAGAAAATGCGATTTTAATTGATTAGGTAAATTGATTGCTTACATTGAGTCTTGTGACAGAGTAAAATTTATATCCATTGTTAATTATTGAAAATTACATTTAGAAACAAGGAATAAAATACAGATTTTTTTGTCTTTGTGTATGCATGTAGGTGGAGCAAGTAATTGTTGAAAACAGGGCTCATATAACAGGAATTCTTTAAAGTTACATTATAGAAAAATAGTTACCTCTAATATATTAACAGCTTAGAGTATCAAAAACTATTTTTATTCTTAATTCTAAAATATCCATTAAAATATGTAAATACTATATAAATAATTTTTAAAACACCCTTGTGCCCCTTAGACAAGTAAAAATATAGAACATTTTTTTTCTTAGACACTTCCTGTATTATTCTTTCCAATCTCGTCCCTTTACCTATCCCACTCTGTGTTAAACAGTAGCCTAACTTCACTGTCAATTATTTCCTTGCTTTACTTTCTCATTTTCCATCTATATATGCAGCTATAAACAATATATTCTTGAATTTTACCTTCTCATAAAATTTAAATAAATGAAATTATAAAAGTATCCTTACATGAGTGACATCTTTAGCTTACCATTATATTTTAAATTTATATTCATGCAAGTAGTTGCAGTTTTGTATTGTTTTTCCTGAAGTAGACTATTTGCTTTTATGAGTATATTATTTAATGATCTTATCTACTATTTATGTCTATTTAGTTACTGATCTTTTGTTAACACGAACAGTGATACTACATATATCTGTCTTTCTGTCTCCTGTACGAACACAAGCATTTCTTTTGGGAGGGCTCCTGGGATATAAGCATCTGTATGCTCTATTTTACTAGGAAGTGCTTAATATTGAAACAAGTATTTCATGAATTTTTGCATTCACCTTATATTTCCCAAGCCATCTCAGCTGTCTTTATAGCTGTTAGTATTATTAGTGTAGAATAAATAAAATAAATAATTAAAATATAATTCACTTCTTGTCATTCTTTATCACTTACGCTATCTCCAAATCAAAGTTATGTCAGGGAGAAGCTCTGCATAATTATACAAGATTCTAAAAATAACACATGGCTAATTTGATCATTTCCGCATTGTAACAGATATATCTCATATGTTGCACTGCCCAATTTATTCAGCTACAGCAATTGATTCTGATAACATAGACAGCTAAATTAGATTCCCACATATGTTCAAAATCTTCTGTCACATTTCCCTTCTACGGACACATAAGCATTTGGTCTCTATAAAGAAGAACACAATAAACTTTTTATATTTGTACAAAACCATAATTTTGTTTAGGAACCTGCACACTGAAGGAAGATCTCTGCCAGCAAAGATATTTTTCACCTAGAAGTCTTTCATTTGCCCGGAAAGAGATTATGGGGGAGATGAAGTTATCCTCACAAATGAATTAAGGCATTTATAAATTTAGCTTTCTGCCTCCTCTTGCTAGATTGCATCCCCAAAGTATGTTTCTCTGAATATTATCTGTATAGGATAATCATACTATACTTCATCACAGAATTCATTTAACTTAAAGATTCACTATCAGATTAATAACATTTTCAAGGGTAGCACAAAAGTGTTGTTAAATGTACACACATATTAACTACCCCCAAATTGCATATTTTATCTATATAATTATATATTACTTTTTTTCTTCAGTAATACAATTAAAGCTTCAGTTTAAGCATTGCTTACACTCAAAGATTCTGCCATTCTACATTTGGCCATAGGTGGCTTATCAAAATATGCAAGATATGATTATGTACATGAATAACAATTCTTTATTACTGTGGTCAGCAAAATATAGGCTGTTGGTCAAATCTGAGATATGACCTTTTTGTAAAGTTTTATTGGAACATAGCCAGGCCCATTCATTACCATATTGCTTATGGCTGTTTTTGAATTTTAATGCAAATTTTAAGGTTAAGACAGAGATCATATAGTCCTCAAAGCCTAAAATATTTACTATCTGTTCCTTTACAGAAAAAAGTTTGCTGATGCCTACACTGGTACATCAGGATTGACTATAATTTCAAAGAATGCAGAAAGAAAGAAACAAAAGCAAGTGAAATACAACTGTTTCTAAATTTCTTTCTTAGTGTTGTTACTTCCTTTTATTTTTTGTCTTAATTTAGTTATGTATTTCTGGATGTTTAACTTCCCTTCTAGAGGTTAGTAAGGTGATTTTTACTGGTTGATGTTTGGTATCTCATTAATAATTAGTCTCACCATTTTAATAGTCACTCGATTTGTTCAAGTATTCTGATTACTTTTCTAAGTATATGATAGATTATAGGATTATCTCAAATTAAATAAAAGATATATGAAAATTTAGAAAATAAATGACCAGTTTTCAGCCAGCATTGAGAAACAATAGAAGAAAATCTACAAATATAGGAATTTGCAGAGTAACAGAAAACACCTTTAAGCAATAAGTCAAATAAGTCAAATGAATTTGGCCTCAGAGCAAAATTAGATAAAGTTAGAAATGTCACAGCCATTGTTAAAACTGCCGAGTGAGTTTAAGTGTTTTCAACATAATCCCGTGAATTTGACAAAATTATCCATAGAAGACTGACTAAGGGTCTAACTGTGCCATGTAATCTTGATAGGTGAGAAATGTTACCCTCTGGTAAGAAGATTTGGGAGTCTGTACATATTTCACAATGTCCTATTTCTCTTAATACAGTAACAAGAGAAGCAGGTGTCAAAATTGAGTCTCCAACATCCTGAGTTCCTAAATGACTACATGCTGATCCACAGGCACATGTAGGAAAACATTGGTGAACATTATTTTGTTAAGCCATTTAGATTTTGGATTTTCTTTGTTCCATCAACATAAATATAGTCTACCTTCACTCCAACCATTACCAATCTCATTTTATTATATAAACTATGAAATTTGATGACTCCTAATGCCTTTAATTATATGCAAGAAAGGTGACAGGTGGTTTGTAAATATTAAAATTTTATTTGAATGTTGAATGATAGCATAATATTTTAAAGAAATGTTGAATAGCAATTATCAATCCCCTTCAGACCTAGACTCACAGGAACACATGTGAAGTTATCCAAATTGGGTTTATTATTCATTGCCATGAGGTGGACACACAAGGGGAACTGTGATGTCTCAGTAAAAAGGTGTTTACAAAGCTATTATAGGATTTAGAATTGTTAAGTGATTTGAGGGAGGGTATAGAGAAATTTGCTGTAGATTGGATGCTGTCAGGAAGTAGTAGCAATCTATGATGGGTTACCTCAATAAATCCTATCTAGACAAAGGGGAAATTAGAAAAAGGATAAGGTTTTACTTGGGAAATGAGTAGCAATTTCTCCTTTTGGAGAGGGATGTTTGGTATTGTGTGGGTGAGAGAGTAAGTGTGTCTTTGATTATGCATAGAGAAGATTATGAAGTGGTCCTTCTGTATCTCATTTTATCTTGGTCCCATAGTAACCTTGTCTGAGATTGGTATTTTGTGAAATTATTTATATCTTAAGAGAATATCCTGGCCTACTATTGAGTGCAAGGCTAAATTCCAAATTTACATAACTCTTTTTTCTTTCTCAACTTAAAAATGCAAATTTAAATTTGAAAAACCATCCTGTGAAGTATCACCAAGAAAATAACACAACCATAGTTCTAATAGGGTAGAAAAAAAATGTTTATATTAAGATGTGGCTTATGTGGATGTAAGTACAGGTAAAGATATTTACAATATACTGTTTTCCATGGAAGAGTGTAAGGTTTTCTCTTGATATTAGTAATGAGATCTAAACTCCAGAAAAATATGTAGTGTTTATATCATAGAATACATAAAATATGGTGTGTGTTAATGGATAGCCCATAACCTACATAATGGTTGGAATGGCATTAATAAGGCATTGGGAATGCTGTTGTTGATACTCCTTGTGAGAATTCCTGTGTTAAGTGCTGGGAAGACAGTTGGGTCCTGAGCCACCTGGCCTATTATGACTATTATGATGAAACATATATTGGCTTTCCTTTTTTTCCAGATAAATGTGAAAAGGACAAATAAAATAAAATCTATCAAATAGCAAATTTAAACTTTTGGTATACAGTGGTGTTAAAATCACTATGTCATTATTAAAAATCATGGACTTTTAAACATTTTAAATTGTATTTTGGATAGTCCTACTCTATAATTCTAGTTTTTTTACATGATTTCTATTTCAACATTCAGGTCTATACTCACACATTTACTTTTCTTCTTTTGGAAATTTTATTTAAAGGATAATAAGGATAAAAATAAAACCAAAATTACAAAGATAAAGGCAATATGAAGAGAACTTTCAGTGGACAAATAGATTGATAATTTTCTGGATGGTAGAAAGTAGATTAAAGAAACTAGAATATCTTAGGGATCAGAAGTAGGGCTGCCAGATAAAATACAAGAATCCCACTTAAATTTAAATTTCGGATAAGTAAAACCTTTTTAGTATAATATCTCAAATATTATATGGGGTATAGCTTATAATAAAAAAGTAGTGTAAGTATGTTTCTTGCAATATATGGTGTCTTTATTTTAAATTTTATGTATTTACTCCTTTATTTATAGCTTTATTTATCTGACGGTCCTAGTCCAAAGAAAACTGCTATTATGAGAGACATTTGTGAAGATTGTTAATTCATAAATTTCAAATAAGATGGCATTGAAAATATAACAGTTACAGAATAAGAAAGTAATCTTGGATATGTAATTGCTGAAATATAGAGGTGAATAGTACAGAAGTGAATATGAAAAGTAATTCCTTCAGAACATGACATAGACATGGCAAATATGAGGAAAAAAATGAAGGTCCAGTGCAAGAGTTGGCTCACTCTGACCCATAGGCTAATGCTGCCTACTGCCTGTTTTTATTTGCCCTGCAGAGACCACTCAGGTGGGTTAGTACTGTGAGTCCCAGAACCCCAGGCAGGGCATCCCAGTTTGTACATTCCTGCTCCATTCCTGCCTGCATTTCCAGGTGACAGCCTGGAGTGCTCAAGCTCTGGACTGATTACCACCTCTATGTGGGAGACTGCAGTTAGCAATTACTAGGCATCAAGAAGTGAAATCTTGGTTGAGTAATCAGGGACTCAGAAAATTTTCTCACCTCTAGCTTCTATCCTAGTTGTGAAAACTGGGCTCTCCTGAGAGAGAGAAGAGCACATATGGACCAGGCTGCCACTGGGTCAGTGAATGAAACTAACAGAGTGGCTCTTGGCCCCACATCTCACCTGCCTCATCCACACATTCCTTTTTCTTTGGATGGTGGCTCTATGTTCTTCATACCAAAATGTCTCCAGATTCCAGCAACTGGGTGCAAAGTATGCCTGCCACTTGTGGAGTCCATCCCAGGCAAGTAAGGGTGGGTAAAACAGCAGTTTCTTTCTCATTAAGTAAGCAACTACATAATATCCTTGATGCTGCCACTTCAGTAGTAAAAACCACAGCCAAGAATAATGAAAAAATTAAAACATTTTTAGACACGCCAGAACACATTTTTATTTTAAGAAGTTACTTAGAGATGTAAACTAACGAAGAAGACATAATAAGAAAGCAGCAAAAAATAGATCTCAGTAGAGTAGTGAAGAGAGAATTAATTATCCATGGATGATAAATCTGCCACATTCTATGCTCTATAAGTCTAGAATTGGTAAGGGATGGAGGACTCTGAAAGAGAGGTTTATGTTAAAGAAAAATAATATTCCTTAAAAATTAGTATAATTGAGAGTTTGGAAAATGGAAATATGCTGGAATTTATTAGGGGATCATATATTTGGCTCATTTTACATTGAGTAAGAGTGCTTGAACTGTAGATAAGTCAATGAAATCTTAACACACTGCTGCTGTGGCAAAGAAAAATATTTATAGTATCAATATAATTTGACATTGTTTCTTTTGTAACTTTCATAATTATGTATTAGTAAATCACAGAAAATGAATTATAGCTATAAAACAAAATAGAGTTCCTCATACTATTGCTTTCTACAAAGAGAGAGATTAATTAAATGAGCTGAATATAGAACAGACAACTAGAAACCTAAGAACTAACATAGACTTAAAAAGACAGAAGCTTCACATAAATTCCTCAAAGAAAGGAGAGGCTGCTTCATTTCTAATATCTGAGTGATTCAAAGAAGGTGTATGAAAAGGTTTGGACAGTGGAGTGTTTGATGCTACATTATCAGTATCTATAAATTTTGTTAATATTAAACACAATAAGCTCTTGCTTTCAAGTGCAACAATTTGAAAAAAAAAGTTCTTATTGGTGCTACTTTTAGAAAAGGACATAACATAATAACAGCAACAGAGATTTTATTTACTGATTGTTTACTATGTTTAAAAATATATAGTTGAGGAGCAGAACAAGATGGCATATTGTAAGGCTCCACTGACTGTCCCCCCACCTCTGTCAGCACGTGCCTGCAAAGACATCAATTTAACAACTATCTACCAAAGGCACCTTTATAAGAACCAAAAATCAGGTGTGTACTCACAGTACCTGGTTTTAACTTGATGTTGCTGAAAGAGACACTGAAGGCTAGGAAAAACAGTCTTTAATCACTGACACAACCCCTCCCCTGTCTCCTGGCAGCAGCCACATGCTGTGGAGAACATTTCTGTGCACTGGTTATAGGGAGAGTGCAGCAATTGTGAGACATTGAACTTAGTGCTCCCTATTATAATGGAAAACACAAGTGAACCAAACTCAGCTGATGCCCACCCACAGAGGGAGCATTTAAACCTCCCCTACCCAGAGGGGAATCTCTGATCCCAGGAGTCCAAATGTGGTTCCCACAAGCCTTGCACTAAAGTGCTCTGGCTAACAGGATAAACTTGAAAGGCAATCCAGGCCACAAAGACTGCAACTCTTAGACAAGTCTTTGCGCTGAGTGGGGCCTAGAGACAGAGGACTTGGTGGGGAGGGTGTCAGGGGACACATAATTCACAGGGAGACTAGCCAGGGAGGCTAAAAGAGTGCTGATATCACTCCTCCCCTAACCCCAGGCTACACAACTGACAGGTTCAAAGAGACCCCTTCTATCCACTTGAGGAGAGGAGAAGAAAGAGTGAGGAGGACTTTAT